TAATGATCATTACTATCCAAAGTACATGTATGAAGACACGAATTGGTGTGAATATACTTTGTATACAACCAAAGATATGAAAATTGTGCTCTATATGTGTAATAAGAATAGTAATGCATTCTGCTGTCATATATAAATAAAAATTTTTTTTAAAAAATGAGCCCTAATCCAGTATGACTGGTGTACTTTTATAGAGAGAAACTGGAAGGAGATACGTAGAGGAGGGAAGATGATATTATTGTGGTTTAGATGTGGTGTCCCCAGAAAGCTCACATGTGAGACAACGCAAGAAGGTTCGGAGAAATGATGGGTCATAGCCTTAGCCTGATCATTGGATTAATCCCTGATGGTGGTGTGTGGCTGGAGGAGGTGGGAACCGGAACGTGACTTTGGTGTATCTATTCGTACCTGGAGGGTGGAGTCTCTCTCTGTGAGCTGCTTCCCTGTGCCACTCTCTTGGGCCCTGATGCTCTGCATCACCTTGAGCCCTGAGGAATGGAGCCGGCCTTCTGTGAACTAACTTCTCCTCCTCTATAGTTGTTCTTTCAAATCTTTCAGTCACAGCAGTGAAAAGGCTGATTAAAACAGAAAGAAAGGCCCAGGGAAGTGACAGGTACCCACCAACCACAGGGAGAGGCTGGAGAGATCCTTTCCTCACAGTTCTCAGAAGCCATGCCAAACCCTTGACCTTGGACTTCCAGCCTCCAGAATGTGAGATAATAGATTCCTCTTTCTTAAGCCAGCCACATGACAGCACTTTGTTACAGCAGACAGAGCAAACTAATACGGTCACCCCCATCAAGCTTCAAGAGATGGCGTCAAAGCATATGGTGCCGCAAGATTGCCATCCAAGGGTAGAGCAGACCTGCTCCTGTGCAGAGCAGGCCCATGAGCATAGAGTATGGAGGGGAGGTGGCCTGTTGACTAGGTAACCACTGCCCGGTCCTCATTTCCAAGTCACAGAAGTAGAAACTCGCTAACTTAGAAAAGAAATGCACTAGAGTCCTACGAGAGAGGGGTAGGAAGGGATGGGAGGGCCAGCCAGCCCCCTCAGGAGAGTACAGAACTCTGGGCGGGGCCTCGGGGTCTGGGTGATCTCCTTCTCGTAGCCCCACACTGTGATGAATGAGCTCTTCACACATTTTCAGCCCTTAAAATGCTTAAGAAATCCAAGCCCCAGAAGAAAAAGGACCCACATTTTGATCAGGGAAAAAAGAGGAAAGGGTAACTGATTTAAGTCCAACCCAGACTGTACTCAACTGATGAAAAAATAATTCTAAAAAAAAAAATTATTTCTGAAAGAATTCAGCATAAAAATAAGAAGCCAGAGACATTAAAAACTGGCTACACTTTTTTTTTCCCAGGAAGGGGATTGAACTCAGGGGCACTCAACCACTGAGCCACATCCCCAGCCCTATTTTGTATTTTATTTAGAGACAGGGTCTCCCTGAGTTGCTTAGCGCCTTGCCATTGCTGAGGTTAGTTTTGAACTCATGATCCTCTTGTCTCAGCCTCCGAGCCGCTGGGATGACAGGCGTGCACCACTGCGCTGGCCTAAATGCCAGCTATACTTGAGGGAGAAGGGCGATGGGAACAGAAATCAGAGACAAACAGCATTCCTGACTGCCACTACAGGTCTTCCCATCTCCCAGGATGAGTGCTCAGAGCCACGCTCTAGGTTATTTTTAATCTACCCACACTTTCTATTCTAAAACTCTCAACTCCAGAGCACAGTCATGAATCACCCAAAACCCTTCAGGAACCACTTTCTGATCTCTCCGGGGTCCACCCTCTCCCTCCAGATCCTAACCCCTCTAAAGGACTAAACTCCAACAAATGCAATGGCTAGAGTTTACCAGGATCACTCACTTTTTCCAGATTCAGTAGCTTTTTCCATGCTAATAACACACACACACACACACACACACACACACACACACACAGTCTGTGTCAATGAGGCACCAAAACATTTAGTCAATTAGATCAGGTTAGCAAACAGCCTGTCACTCTGTTGAGGGAGGGGAGAATCTGCCAAATTAGTTGTTTGATTGAACTGACGGGCTGTCTTGGTCCAAATAAGTCTTTTTTATTAAATGTTGACAGATCATAGTATATCAAAAAGAAAATCTACAAAAGCCACTTTTCATCTATGTAAACAGTAAAATCAAGGTGGCATACTGGAAATCTCTAAATAACACTTTGTCTACATCAAAGGGTATAATTCTTTAGGTCAAAATAAATTAGGAAAGAAAGCCTCTTTTTTTTTTTTTCCAGTAGAAAAGGATGGAGAGACGAAATTACCCCAGATGGCACGTTGCCAATATCAAGATGATTTCCCACCAACTCCACATTCCACATGGCAGGCAGTGACAGCTACCTGTACCACGCTCGAGTTCTTCATTTAGTATCTTATTTAATCTGATCAACAACCCTATAGGGAAAGGATTGCTAGCCTCGTTGTAAAGAGAGGAAATTGTGGCCCATGTGGTTCACATAGCATAACCTTACACAGACAGTAAAGTTCAGGGAGGAGATTTTAACTTCTATTTCACTTCAAAGCTGGCTGGTTTTAACTACCATGCTAAGGACTCCATTCTAAGAGTCCTTAACTATTCATCCCTAGCCAGGTTATTGACATCTTTCTCCTTGGGTGGACTCAAAAATCCTAGACCACAACCTGAAGGCACGGCTGGATATGACAGGCAAAGCATTCACTACTCACTGCATAGAAGATAGACCGATGGGGAATAAGGAAAGGTGAGTTTGGGTTTGACTTCTGTCATTCATCCTAGAATGTCTTTGATAACAAGTGAAGAAATTGGGAAATGCACTCCTGGCAGGCAGCAAGTGTGAAAGCCCTCTGGCTAGAAGGACTGGGACCCCCAAGAGTCAGAAAGAAAGCCGGGTGGCCAAAGCATACTGCAAAAGTGGACAAAAGCCAGACCATGCCGAGAGCTGTACAGACATGGACAGTGACTGAGGAAGAGATACCCAAAATGAATCCATCCAGAGGACACAGAGGAGAGCTAGGCAAGGAAGGCATAGGAAACCAGGAGACACGGAGGGAACGTCTCATCAACTCTAGTACTCCTCTCCTGCTTACCCACCACCTTTCGGATAACTGATGAACCATCATGATCCATATGATTGAGAGTTTGCATTTCCTTGGGGCCTTGTTTCAAGGATGGCAGATGGAAGGAAAAAGAAAGAACAAAACAGCGTCTTCTAGAACCATGGTCCAGTTTGTTCAGAACCTCCCAAAGAAGGCCCCTGTGCTGGAGAACCTTGCTGAGACTTGCTGGAAGTCTCTAGTGACCACAATTTAGCAGGAAGCCAAGGTTGTGTTGGTTCCTCCAAGCTCTACAGCCGAGATCCCTGCAGCTATTCAGCCTGAATAGCTGAATAATATCTCTGATAACAAGTGAAGAAATTGGGAAACGCACTCCTGGCAGACAACAAGTGTGAAAGCCTTCTAGCAAGAAGAACTGGTACTCCCAAGAGTCAGAAAATTGTGCTCAAATTAGTAGCTTCAAACAGCTCACAGCAAAGGAAGTTGTGTGAACAATTTGGTGGCCACTGAAATGTGGCTGTAGTTTTCTTTCATAGAGATCATACACAGGTATAGCATTGTTGGTTATTGTTTGAAGACCAGTCTTTAACATTTGATTATATTTGTTTATTGTATCATCAAACTGCTATATGAATAAAATGTGACAAATATCGGTGTTCTGTCAAATACTCTATGGATGATCACGGTTTTTCTTGATATTAAAGTAGTTTGTCTTTGGCCTTGATACATTAATACATCTCTAAATGCATGTCTATTTATTCTGAAATTGGAAACCATATATGTGAACATACCAACATGGTACACAGATATATAAGAATAACATTTTGATTTAAAAGTTTAAAATATCTGATATTTAAGTTTTATTTCTGGAAACTTAGGAGAAAGGGCTTGAGAAAAACTAGAAACTTGGGAAGATAGTAGTACCATATACCAGAGTGATGCAGTGATATAGTGATCTTGATGGCACACTCTGCAGTCTCAGGAGCTAGAAATCTTAGGCTGGAGGATCACGTGAGCCCAAGAGCTCAGGGTCAACCTTGGCAACAAAAAATAAAACCTTGTTTTAAAAAAGAAGATCACACCAATAGTTACCCCCAAAATGGATTTTTTTCTTTGCTATAATCACAAAAGACCCTTTTTCTTTAATTGTTTATTTTTTTAGTTACACATGACAGTTTCTCAGTTTCTACCTATGAAAAATGGGATGGAGGGAGAGACCTTGAGTTCCTATGGCCCCGTCAGGCTCTGAACATACTACATCCCTTTAAAATGTGAGAAGCACACCATCTGATGAACGAGAAAGCCGAGGGGGAAACTTGTTAAAAATCACTTTTTCGGAGTCACAAGGCTGAAATTCTAGCCAAGGTTCTAGAAGACTCTAGAGCACTGCCTTGGGGACATTGAGAGCCCTGTGCCAGGGAATGCATGTGAATGTTCACCAAGCGGAAGTTCTCCTCACAGATAAATCAGTACTTTTTAAAAAGCTTGTCTTCAGTTGCTCTCTCATACAGCGGGCTGTCTGTGCTTTTCCAAATGCACCAGCCACTTTCACAAATGCCTTTGCTCTTTCACTTCACCCAGACTTCTTCCCCTTCTTATCTAGCAGGTACCTTTTATTTTGTCTTCAAAACATTTATTCAGAAATGACCTCCCATCCACCCTTTCTTATCAAGCAGCTGATAAAGTGATGGAGCAACTTTGGGATCGAGGGGCACAGCTGCCTTAATCGGGGCGCCTGGGAAGGGCCTGCTGGAGAAATGACTTTGGCACTGTGATACGGTGATACCCATGACGAAACACGGTGGGTCCCACGAGGCAGAGGGGATCTGGAAAATGATCCCGCAGGCAGGGGAATGTCTACGGAGTCTGAGGAACAGAAGAAGGCAGTGGAATTAAGATGGACAGCCAGTATCTACACTGCCGGGAAGGCTCATTCAAACAGGTTAGCAGGTTTTTATTCAACAGATCTAGGGTGGGTCCAAGAATGTGCATCTCTGACAGGTTCCTGGGTGATGCTGATGGTGCAGAAACCACACCTTAGAAACTGATGTACTCCTGTGGTCGAGAGCGTGTGCCATACATAATGAGTCCTCTTAGGTCATGATGATACTGATTTTATTGATCCCAAGGTTCCTACTTATGATGAAGAGAAGGTTTGGAAGAGGTTAATCTTCAATTCCATTTGAGGTCCCCCAGGACATCCAAATCCACCACGTTGCATGTCTGTGGGTACCACACACTCTGCATTTCATGGGAATAGCAACCCTGCAGCACAGAAACATAAAACAACCCACATGAACACTGCCTGGTAGGGTTGTGCGATATGTCAGTCCCACAATATTGTTCTACCTCTAAGCTGACATTCTAGAGAGAAGACAGACACTAAGCAAGAAAGATACTTTTAAATGGTGTTCAGTACTATAAAGAAAAAAATAATAATTGTCACTCTTATAGATCTGGACCATGCACATTGCTGCAAGCAGTTTGGGGACTACCTGGCTAGGGCATCCTGGTGCTTATTCCTGGAACCTACTTGTTTAAAGAAGGCACACAGAGAACTGTAACTTGTAGATAATAACTGAAGCTTGTGTTATTGGCCACTGTGGTGCACCGAGTCTAACCATCAGCTTCGATGTTAGGTCAACCAACAATCCCATGAGACATGCATCATGGGAAAACTGAGATAGAGTGGTTCAGGAACTTGACAGAGGACACATAACTAGAAAGGGACAGAACTGGAATTCAAGACCAGGACCAATTGCAGAGCTGGTTCTTGCACGCTGACCACACAGCTTTCAGGAAACTTGCTGGCTGAGTTTTCTGAAAGGCTCCATGTCACCTTTGTCCCTGACCAGGGTCTGATATTACCTTAGAGAAAAATCCAGCCTTGGAAAGGCCTGTGTTCTTTGCCAATAAGTAGCTAGACCTGTCAGAGTATCTTTAACATTAAGAAAACCCCATGCCTGAATCTGTGCTCCAGACCTTTTACACAGAGAAAATATGGACATTTTCTTTTAATAATGCTACAGAGAAATAATGAAATGGTAGCATTACAAAAACATAATTAGGTCTTCAGAAAAAAAACAATCTCCACTGGAGTCCTATAAAAAGACCACAGGTGTTCGTCATTATTTTTTATTTAGCAGACAGTTTTAGCCATTGTTTGTTTTTTCCCCATTTATTAAGTTCTGGTATTTTAAGATGATTTGTGTATAATAATAACAATAATTTCCTGTTTGCCTGTCAGTTGTGAGCTGCTTTAATTACAGATATTCATTTTCACAAGTTAACTTGGTAAACATGCTCATTTGTTATGCTCCCTGTTCATTAAATCAGTTAGCACAGCTAGTAACTACGTTAAGTATTTTCCTGTCGGGTTTCAGCAATGTATCTTCATCAGTTTCCAACACTGCTTCTCAGAGACAGTCACAGGCTTCCTGAGAGTCCCTTCTTATTGGATAGGAAGGTCAGGAAATGCTGAGTCTTCCATTGCTGCAAACCCAGGTGCGTTAAGCCCAATGGCAGCATCCGCTCCCTTTGCATATCACAGACAAATCATTGCTTCAGACTAAAGTGCAATACTTAGTAACCAGAGGCAAGATGTGGGATAAAGGAAAAAAGAACACTCTGACAAGGGAGGGGTTGAGTAGACCTGCTTGAAGCATACCCAATCCTTGGACAGCCCCCTACCACCCACCCTGCAAAAGGAGAAGGTTTTGATAACTATGGTTGTACCAGATGATCCCAACCTCTGAAATAGCTAATTATTCTAGAGGTGGACATCAGGGGTCATCAGATGGCCCCCTAAAGTATCTGAGGAAGAGTTGTCAAGTTGGAGAGATAAAATTCAGAATCAAGGCTGAGTCTCTGAGCCTCTGTAGTTCGAGACCAAATATGGGAAATGACGAGATTAACAATGCAGACATTGCTAAGCCATGAAAGAGCATGCAACCATAAAAGACAAAGCAGAGGAGAAAAGATCACCAGAAGATCTTTGCAGCTCCCAATAAGCACGGTTATTTTTTTTTTTTGAGATTTCCATGCATATTTTCAATAAACCAGTTATTTAGCCAATTTAATAGGCTTCTGTAACTAAAAAACCAAACACAGTTTGAACAATACATTTTTAATCATGGTGACTGGGATGATATTGGTTCCACTAAAAATGTCACATTGAATAGATCTCAACTTTTCTACAAAGGAGTCATAGATACCAACAGTTTTCAAAATTTTCCTTTAGTGGGCACTATGATTACTACTGATGTTCCAAATCAGGATCAAGGACAATATAATATTATATAGCCAGTAGCTAAGTCACAGGCTCAGTAGGAAGTCATTCATTAGAGGTTTGAGTCGGATAGAAGAACTTGGGTCAAGGTGCTCAAGAGTAAATATTCAAAACAATTAAAGTTCATTGAGTTGTTCATGGTAGATTCTCCATGATTACTCTGCCTTGTGTCTTTTGGCCCTTGCTAACCTTTCCTAAAAGAGAAAGATCCATTGATTGTGGCTGGACAAGTTATGATGAGAAACAGAATAAGACTACCCGAATCAAGTATCAGGCAATTAGGAAAGATGGCATTTACTTCTCTTAAGGTGGAACTTCTACATGGAAGCCTCAGATGCTGAGGGACACCATTTAACCATCAGAGATCAAAAGCCACCACATTTGATAAATACAAACCAATCTGAAGAGGATCCTCCAGTAGCCCCTGAGAGTAGTCCCACACTATTTTCTCCATGATCCATGACATTGCTCCCTATGTCCTTCCTTTGCAGTTTCAAGTCCTCTTTGCTTGGCCCTCCATCTATTCGTGACATGCCCATCTTTTGACTTCTCCTGTGAGTCTCAATTATTCATGGACTCTCCCTCCTTCCAGTTATTCCAGACTAGGCCAGTACTGGAAATACACTCTGGATTTTAGGAGAAAGTTCAGGGTCTCATGCTCCACTGGAGACAACGCCGGAAGACCAACTAAATCTGGGGGTCCTGGGGGTGTAGGGTAGATAGGTAGGGAAGGAAATTTTGCAACAGGTCCCCAAAAGTGAGTGGATGATGATAGGACCTGGAGTTTATATGAAGAGTTGAAGTTTTATTTTTATTATTTTTTAAAGAGAGAGTGAGAGAGGAGAGAGAAAGAGAGAGAATTTTTTAATATTTATTTTTTAGTTTTCGGCGGACACAACATCTTTGTTTGTATGTGGTGCTGAGGATCAAACCTGGGCCGCACGCATGCCAGGTGAGTGCACTACTGCTTGAGCCACATCCCCAGCCCAAAGAGTTGAAGTTTTAGAAGAGAAAGAAACTTGAAAGGAAGGAAAAATGCTGAAGTAGACCAGAGGAGGGATAAAGGGTCTCCCTTTTGAGCTCTTCATCTTCCCTATCTTCTCTATAAAGTGTGCTCCAAGTTTGGGGCTCAGAGATAGAATTACAGGCATGCATGAAATGAACAGTCAACATTTAGAAAAGGTAATGCATGCCTACTTATGAGATTTGCCTTTGTGAGTAAATAGAACCATTTGAGTGCTAGAACTCAGTAGGTTTGGCTAAACCCGCATCCATTCTCACTCCACTAATAGCAGCATCTAATTGTGATCTGGAACTCGCAATGGATATGGTCTTATTGGAACTGCCAAAGTGTCCCGCCCTCCCCTGCATAAGAGGTAGGTCTGTGATGCAAGCTAAACCATCAGAGATTCCTCCCTGGATTTTAAGTATAGGAATGCTAAGACTCTTAGTGCTGATTCCTTCTGATGGTGGCCTCCAGAAGGGACTTCCTTTAGCCCCTGCTCCCCAGAGCCAAGCAACAACATGGGTACCAGTCTTTTCAGAAGTCATGCTCTTCAATTCTTCCTTAAATTTTATGAACCTCTCCCTATCCTTGTGAGAAATTATTTTTTTCGCTTAAACTATTAAGTCAGATTCTATTGCTTATAACTTAAGAACACTAACAATAGCAAAAGTTGGACAGCTATTCCTCAACTTTACAATGGAGTCATGTACCAATAAGCCCATCACAAACTGAAAATATTCTAAGTAATGCACTTAATACACCTCACCTATCGAACATCATGGCTTAGCCTCACCAATGAGTTCAGAACACTTACATTACCCTAGAGTTGGGCAAAATCATCCAACACAAAGTCTATTTTATAATAAAGCATTGGAGTATCCCATGTCATTCACTGAATGCCATACTAGAAGTGGAGAAAACAGAACAGTTATATGGGTACATGTTTGCAGCATCATAAACCCAACAAATTGTAAGTTGAGCCATCGTAAGTAGGGGACTATCATATTATCAGTGTTATATAAAAAGGCATGGTGGTGGGAATTAAGAATCCCAAAAGAAGAGTAATGCCAGCCTTACTACTGCCACTGAGACACAGGAAGGTTCGAGCAGAATCTCCAAGTTCACTAAGCTTCATTTCTCCCATCTGTAAAAGTTCAACCTGAAGCTGCTAAGATCCTGTCTTTACAGAAATAATTTTCCCTTCCTCTCAATTATTTCAAGCAATCTCTTACCATCCACTGTCACCAGGTTCATCAGTTGGGCTGAAAGGACTTTAAGGAAAGGAAAGAACAGAAGCACTGATCAGAGCCCATTGGAATGGCCTTCACAAAAAGAAATTCCAAACCCCACCTTTAACCCAATTTTGTGAAGCAATATAAGTTTAATCTGATTTCACTATTTTTTTTCATTCTTTCATTTGGCATCTGCTAAGAACTTCTTGCATACATTTTTACTCTCTTCAAGGGAGAAAAAGGAAGTAAGGACATTCTCTGTTCTCAGGAGACCTGAAATACAGTTTATTAGGTGCAAGAAATCCCTAGAGAACCCTTTTAGGAGGCCCAGAATCACATGCCCAGCACCCACCAAGTGCTAATCATCTAGTAAGTGTTTAATATTTGTTGATTGAATCAGGGACAATGTATACATACAAACATACTATTAGGTAGACAAAAAAATCTTAAGACTCAGAAAGATGAAAAGAAAATGAGTATTTATTTTACAACTACTGAGCTTTTTACTACACAGAATTTGACATAGTCTTCAATTATGAAAATGTTGCTCAAAACGGATCAGTTGAAGGGTGGTTATTAGTATTTCATAAAAGAATATTCCCATCTTAAGAAATTTAAAGAATCTAACATATTTAAAATAGAGTTTTCTTTGTGGGGACATTTTAGAACACTGCTCTGGCACATGAGGGTAAACTCAAACTTGACATGCCAAAATGTAACTCCATCCCAAAATATCGGCCTGCCAATACTAGATGCCAGTGTAATAGCATTTGACATGCAACAGTGTTAAGCAAATGGAGTTGTTAAAGCCACCGGTCACTCACCAGGACTGTCAACACATAAGAGGTCTGAGTGACACACAGGGGACTCTTGTTTCAGGAGGCAAAGTTCACCCCCAAAGATCACCATCCATTAGGGAGTAACGAGAACCTTCTGGCATGTCCAAGTGGACGGGACTTGGGAAAACCTGAACAGGGAACTCGATAAAATTAAAATGCAATGGGGGTGAACTGCGGCAGCAGCAAGCGTAACCTTCTTGGTGTCTTTAGCAGTGTTAATGGATCTACTTATGGCACAGATGGTGGTTTTCAGAAAAGTCATTTTTTCTCTAACAAATTCATGACTAAACTAAAAAGACCACTATCAACTTCATTATGCTTTCCAATTGACTTGCTTTAAGGGTTATTCTTTTATTATAGCTCTTAAGCTCCCATTTCTTTTTTAAAGTACTTCTTTTAATACCAATTTTCACAGCACTAAGAAATTTAACACTCTTCAGTGGTTATATTAATGGCAAAGACTGTTGCAGGCTGAAGAGAGGCATGAAAGACATTGCTATCGGACTGGTCATTTGTTACCTCCTCTACCCCAAGTTAGGGGCCCGGATCCCAGGAGGTGACAATCAGATCACCATTGAGAATATAGAGGTAATGAGAGAAAGCTGGTATCATCCCTCCCCAGAGAAAATGTTCCTCCCTACAACATCAGAGTAGTGGGTACATGGTACATTCCATATCATTCTTTTCAAATGTGATTCTACTACAAGACTCCCCTACCCAAGTGTGTCCAGTTAGCCTTTTAAGTGACCAGCAAACCTAATTAATTGCACAAACAATTCTATAAGCATTTTACAAACATCATTTGAGTGACTGTAAACACTAAAATAAAACAGAATTTGCATAATATGGGATAAGCCAGAGTTCTGTATTAGGAGTCAACCAATTTGATTTATTTTTTTTTGAAGTGAAATTGAATTGGAGAGAGATCATATTTCATAGGAAGGAAGACATATATTATAATATCACTCACAAGAATAAAAATTAGAATGCATTTCCTAACAACAGAACAATTAGCTGTATCTGCTCAGAAAAAAAAGATTATAAAAAGATATGCACACATATGGAAAACCTTTACAATGTTAAGAGAAAACTGAAGAAACAGTATATGTATGAACAAAATAATACATAAGACACCCGACATATACGAAGAATACCAGTGGAAATATGTTAAAATGCCATCCATAGTTATTCCAAGGTGGTGAGATTGTAAACTTGTGTGCCTGCGCTTCTGTTTATTTTCCCATCTTATTTACATGTGTTTATTTAAATTCATAACCAAGAAATTAATATTTTATCTCCTATGGAAAAAAAGTCGGTGATCATTCACATATAGATGTCTGTGGTAGGAAAATTTCTTTAGGGCTTTAAATTCTGTTTGAATTCCCCCTAAGATGTGGCTTTTGAACTGTCACAGACACAACATTGAGAAGTCACATTTGGCATCAACAGTGGTCGGAGCAAAATTTACATGATCAACCCTTCCACTTTACAGATGGAAAAACTGAGGTTTGGAAATTCCTCACCGGAGATCTAGAAAGCAGCCCCCTTCCTTTAACTTCCTCGCCTCTCAACCACATTATTCTTCATAAGGCAAATCCTTGCTGATGGCAGAAATCTCTAAGACGCAAAAGAAAAGAGTAAAATGATCAAATCATTTCATTCTATTTTGCCATTAGGTTCCAAATAGTCTCCAGTTCAGCTACTTTATTAGCTTCAAGGGGATAATGCCTCATAATTCTTAATTTAACTTAATTTAATTCTAAATTTAATTCTTAATTCTTCTATAGGAGGTCCAACATGGCCTTCAAAGGCCCTTTATTTTGACCCCATGCCTGGTTGGCTATAGGGTGAGTGCTCTGTGATGGTGTCAACAAGTGACCACAGTTATGAGCTCTTGTGTTGCTAAGATAATTCTGGAATCTACCTTTGCCATGCTCTACCATGACATGACGCACAGTACAAATGTCCCGTCCATATGGAGACACACAGAGCAGCCTGCCTGATCTAGAAAACAGGACCTTGAATGGAGCCCTCTAAATCACCAGCTTGCTTCAACTAGTTCCAACCTGGATGAGGGGGATAATAACCCGTTGGAATATCTGAAGAAAATTCCAGTGCTTTTCAGTGAAAAGATTGACATTGTTGAAAGAAAGTTTTCTTCCCTCCTTTCCTCAGAGATATTTCCCCTCTTTGAAAATGGAGAGCAATTATTTTTTATTCAACCTGTCTTTAATTTCTATCTCATGTGAAGAAAGAACAGTGATCACTCACAAAAAAGGTTTTAATGACCGCAAAAATGGTCTCATGATTGATCATTTCATATCATGCCTTCCACCCAGAGCACTTACAAATCACCAGCCTGGAAGCCCCTCTCTCAGCACAGGCCGGGGACAGCTCTCAAGGGCTTTGTGAATGGGGGGAGGCTTTGAACAACAACAAAAAACACACACACACAGGATCAAAGGACCACGATTAGAGGGTACTATTATAGAGACCAGGAGGAATAAAGACAGACTCATAATGTGAAATATTTGAGCACTTTTGAATGTACTTTCAACTTTTAAACTCTCCCATCATTTCTCAAATTCTGATTTTTAATGAGGAACACTGCAGATAGATACCAAAAAAAAAAAAAAAAAAAAAAAAACTAAATGAACAATCAGGAGAGTCCTTAAAAATCGGGGACATTTGAAAGAAGCGACATATACCTATAAATCAACCGTTGAGTTAACACGTTGTTGAATTATAAGAAGAAAATTGTTCTTTGCCTCAACGTGCAAAGCTTCTAAGTGATACTTAATGCAGTTACTTAACTCATTTCAGATCAGGTTTCCCAACAGTCTTCTCTGCAGCACGGGCTGAGGTAGATAGGACCATCATGTACTTGTCTTTTTACTGGTGGAGAGAATACTTCTACAAAACAGTGAGAGTCATTGTGACATGGTCATACATGCACTTGACGTCATTTGGTCAGTTTCATCCCAGGACCTCCTCTTACCCAACCCCCTCCCTCCCAGATTCCTTTGCTCGACCCTACTGGGGTTTCAGTGTTTATGATATTTTTTGTTTTTCCTTTCTTGATTCCACATTATGAGAAAACAAATGACCCTTGACTTTCTGAGTCCACTTATTTAACTTAAAATGATGTTCTCCAGTTGTGTTTCCATTATACTGCAAATGACTTAATTTCATTCTGCTTTATAGTGGGCTAAAACAATACATACCACATTTTCTTTGCCCCTTCTTCTATTAATGAACACTTAGGCTGGTTCCATAGTTTGGCTATTATGAATTGTGCTGCTATAAACAAGAGTATGCATATATCAGTATAATATGCTGATGTTAAGTCTTTTCAATGAATGCCAAAAAAATGTATAGCTGGGTCATAAGGTGATTCCATTTCTTGTCTTTTGAGGAACTTCCGTACTGATTTCCATAGTGGGTGTACTAGTTTACAATTCCACTAACAATTATTTACAAGAGTTCCTTTTTTCCTGCCTTTTCACCAACATTAATTATTATTTGTAGTCTTTTATTTAAATTTATTTATTCCAATTTGTTTTACATGACAGTAGGATGCATTTCAATTTGTTATTTGTATTCTTGATGACTGTTATTCCAAATAGAGTGAGATAAAATCTCAGTGTAGTTTTAACTTGCATGTCCCTGTTTGCTAGAAGCGTTGAACATTTTTTCAAATATCTGTTGGCCATTGACACTTTTTCTTTTGAGAAATGTCTGTTTAGTTTATTGGTCCATTTACTAATTGAGTCGTTTGGGGTGTTAAGTTTTTTGAGTTCTTTATATTTTCTTGGTATTCGTCCTCTGTCAGAGGAATAGCTGGCAAAGATTTTTCTCCAATTCTGTAGGCTCTCCTCATGCTCTTAATTGTTTCCTTTGCTGTGCAGAGCTTTCTAACTTGATGTCATCCCACTTATTGATTCTTGGTTTTATTTCCTGAGCTCTAGGCATCTTACTGAGGAAGTCCTTCCCTGGCCTACATGTTGAAATGTTTCCCCTATTTACGTCTAGCAGTTGCAAAATTTCTGGTCTGATTCCTAGATCTTTAATCTATTTTGAGTTGGCTTTTGTGCAGGTTGAGCTATAGGGAATCTAGTTTCATTCTTCGACGTGTGGATATTCAATTTTAGCATCCTGGACGTTTTGGAAGGTCCTCATTTCTTTCTGTGGACTTCCAGGTGGCATGGGGGCTGACCAACACTCAAACTCCAAACCTCCCATTAAAATGCTCACAAATGTCTCAGAGTGCCAGCCACACTGTAAAACCTAAAACTGGGGAAAATAAAAGACCCAACAGTACGAGAACTTATCCTTGCTGTATCATTAAGTGAGACTGATTTAGAAACACGCATGTTCTCTCCGGACCAAAAGAAGACAGCTCCAAAGCAGATGAGAACATTTTAACTCCCCTTCACTATCTAAGGCCCAACTCTATGATTCCAGGTTTGAAATGATAGAAAGACAGTCATTCCTCAGCTTGATCCATCAGCTTTGGTCTCCATCCATTCAGAATATCAAAGTCTAACATACAACATGGCACGGCAGGAAGTAGAAGACATCGAGAAAATGTGTTTAGGAAGTTTGTGCACTTGTCATAAATAGCTTAAGAAACAAGGATGGAGACCAAGAGGTATTGGGAGCCTTGGAGAGCACAGGAGAGATGGCAGTTTTCACTACAAATTCAAAATATTAACAATGACCTCTGACTCCTAAAAGTTCTAAATCAGGTTGCAACACAATTCACAAAACAGACAAAAATCATTTATATCCCAGTGGCCAGTCTACAACCAATTTGGCTAAAATATTCATGAAAGTCACAGAACAGCACACACATATATGTAGGCAAACACACACCCCTGTCCCAACCACTTTTTATCACAAATGACGGTAAGGGCCCAGTATGGGAGGCTGAGAATGATGTTGGATTCTTAGCAAATACAGAAGCCCAGAGAAACATCAAAAGCCTCCATCAGAACTGTAGTGCTTAGAAATGGTCTGAAATGTTTCTCTAACCTCAACTTACAAAAATTAAGTCCCGCAGGGTGCCAAAGGATTTCAGTAACTGCTCTTAAGTAATTGTTTATTAACTCTGGCTGCTTCGATGAATTTCCCAAAAGTGACAAATTGAGCTTAATTATCATCACTTGGCTTCACTTCCTCACCGTAAGACAGGACTGTGGTAATGACACTTCTTGAAAGATTACAATAAAGAAAATACATCAAAGGCCAGGGCTGTGGTTCAGTGGTAGAGCGCTTGCCTAGCATGTGTGAGGCACTGGGTTCGTTCCCCGGCACCACATAAAAATAAAACACAACTTAAAAAAATTTTTTTTTAAGAAAATACATTCAAATAACTCAGATGGTCAATCTGGAGCATTCTTGAAAGCTAAAATGAAGGTACATGAGTTTATTACATGCCTAGAGTGGTGAATTTGAGAAGGACTAAGAAGAACCCTATGAAATGAACCACTTCACTTGTACAACATGAACATATCTCTCCTTGATCTAAACAATCTCCCAGGCTTGGAGAAAGTTCTCCCTCAAATTTCACTATAGTTAGATGAGAAAAGCTAAGCGAGTGTGATATTATAGAGTCTCAAATACCAAGATTTTTAACTTTGTTTTTAAAAGGCAAAAGTCTCATATTCCTTAGGAGTACCATTGTCTCAACAGACGAATACCATTTAAGAAACCCAAGTCAACTCTGTTCTTCAGGAGACTTTTATATGAGAATTATGTTGGTGACACAAGGACTAGAAGAGCCATTGTTAAGAATGGTAGACACTTTCCAGGCCAAGTGTGGTGGTGCACGCCTGGAATCCCAGCAGCTTGGGAGGTGGAGGCAGAAGGATGGTGAGTTCAAAGCCAGCCTCGGCAATTGAAGGAGGTGCTAAGCAACTCAGTGAGACCCTGTCTGTTGAGAGCCACAGCCAAAGGGGCCCCAGCAAACTTCCAGCTGCCAGCAATCTTCAGACTGCCAGCTGATTATTGGTTCACAGTGGCCCCAGCAACATCTAGCTGATTGGCTCCTCTGCGGTGATGTTCATTGGGCTGTTTCCCTGCCCTTCAGACTGCCAGCTG